GGGGGGGGGGCATTTTGCTAAGCCGATACCTCCCCGTGGTATACTCTAAGGGTTATTTCACGTAGAAGAGTGATCAAAATCAGAAACATCACTACTTTGAATGAAATAAACGAATAGTTCGAGAGCACCGATTTGCTGAAAATAATAGGATTTTACTACGGTATTTTAAGATAAGTTCCCTAATTTTAATCAGCGAGAGGACATTTTAATGCTGAAATTACTTGTCATATAGTGTCGAATCTACCCGAAAATGTTTAAATTTACCCCCCAAGCCCCCCGGAACAACCCCCGAGAAATGTGTTGCGGGTTGCGTTTTTAGCGATTTTTCGCCTAAAATCCGAAACTTTGACACAAAAGTGGCAGTGGTTACGGTCATCGTAGGTGGCTGAAATTTTTTGTGGGCTCTTTTATGCACCAACCACATACTTTCCAGGGGTAGCGAATGTCATGCGCGAAAAAAAGTTTTTTTCGCTACACCCTACTGTACGTCCATGCTACAATATCTGAGATTAACCCTGTTGTCCAATTGCACATATGGTTGTTTTTTAACCTATCTTCCCATCTCCTTAAAATCTCATTTTTAATTTCACTAGGATCCTCCTCTTTGAGTGTCTTCCTCAATTTCTCTTCGAAGAATAGATCAGCCGGTGGAATTGCTGTGATGAGATCTAGAGAAAGATCAGACATTGTTCTATATCCACATATTAAGGACAGTTTTAAAGGCCTTAAAGTCTTTCTTAATTTATCTACATTTTTTTCTTAACTTAAGTGCTGGGGACCAAATTTGAATTCCGTACGTAATAACAGAGATAACAGTATTTATTAATAAGAGTCTTTTATGAAATGATGGGCCTTTAGTATTTGGCATTATACTTCTAAACATCCCTGCCACTCTTATTAGATATTTTTATTAGAATTCGTCACTCCTTTGACGTATAAGGGCGCACAGCCTGTGTCACACTATCAAAGCTAAACATCAAAATATCAAGGTCAGATGTTGTGGTTGGCTTATTCGATGACTTGGACCAATCACAGTACTTGAACTTGACATTTTGATGAAGTATTTCGATAGTGTGACACAGGCTTATCCCAATTTCCGAATGATCCCTTTTCTCCGTATAACTCTGCTATCAGGGGCTAGTGTGAAAATCGAGATACGCCGTAACGCCAAAATGAACAACGAATTATCTGAGAAAAGTTCGCGCAAAAACATTGAGTGGTACATGCTTCCAAAAAAAATTATGAGAGGAAATTTCGGAATGCCGCAATGGACCACTAGACAAGGTACGAATTTAAGCAATCTGATACATGTTTCTTAACCAGAATTTCACGTAGAACACGATACACACTACGAAAATTACCGAAATCAACTTCTAACGAAGATATTAACGTTTTTATTTCGCACTGATTACGAGGAATTTGAACTGCCCGCTCACAAGAAACTCAAAGCTCTACGTGAGTCAAATCGCGCACTACAACGGTTTCAGCAAGCTTCTCAATCGAGCAATGTTCATTTTTCCCCATGTGTTGTTCAAACTATTGATAATTTGCTATAGCTGAGCCAAAAAGTCAAGATTGAAGTTGAAGATTTTTACATCGCAGAGACTGTCATGATAAACATTTAGCGCGCGATGTGAATCACGTAGAGCATTGAGTTTTCATGGGCGGGTGGTTTGAATTCACGCATCAAGAATCATTAAATATCTTCGTCAGGAGTTGATTTTGGTAATTTTCGTTGTGCGTATCGTGTTCTACGTGAAATTTTGGTTGAGAAACATGTATCAGAATGCTGAAATTCGTACCTTGTCTAGTGGTCCATTAAGATCCGCAGTTTTGCTGTTTCACCGTCGATATGATTCTTACGACGCACAGTGGATAAAGTCAATCGGAGAGGTCCGACATGAGATGTTTGACTAAAATTGTAAATTTTGATGTTTAATTCGTCACATTTTACACGGCATTTTATTCGGCACGGTTGGAAGAAAATTTCATGAGGAAACCAATGGAACCACTTTTAAAATCTCAAAGTTTTGTGTAACCGAGGTAATAAGCTTTTAAAGTTTCCAAATTTTGTCCGAGCTCTCCCATTGACTGGATCCACTGTGCGACGTCTAGATAACATTTAATTGGAAGTGGAGCAAAATTGAAAGGCATAAGTGGGAAATCAGGAATTCAACGGGCAACCAATGAAGCAAACAGCGTTGACCTCCCGGAGCACATTTCATCCATTCCTGTTTCATTGTTATACTTGTTTACATTTCAGAGCAAACATTTGCAGAGAAAAGCGCTGAGAATTTTTCCTGCTGAAACCGCGTGTCCCACCACCCCCTCCTCTACACTAAAAGATGCAGCGCAGCGTGTATTCTCTGACCTCTTTCGTCCGTTTAACAATACTCACCGACAAAAGGGTCGAAGATCTTCGATCAACCCTCTCATATTGGAGAGCTGAACAGGATGGCATTTTATGTTTGTTATAGTTTGGCCAGGATAAATTCTCCTTCAATGGACCACTCAATGCCATGCTTAGCAAAAACGTCGTATAGAAACATTCGAATATTGCCAAGTCAACCCCGATTAAAATCATATTTTTAGGAAAGTTATAATTATTTTCATCCGCAATTTTCAGACGCTTTAGATCCAACTGCTAATTAAATTCACGGTGAAATTGGAAGGAAAATTGTCTTCCATGCAGTTTCTCTGAGCTTCTATACTTTATCCCAGAAAAATTTGTGACGTCTGGAAGCTCATACGGCGTACTTCTCAGTGACGAGGCGTGCTTTGGGAATTATCGATTGATCTGTCATTTAAACCTATGGGAAAGGATCGATAAACAAGGTGTTCGCAGCGAACACCTTAATAATCGATTCTTCACCGAAGAGCCTAATGAGGAAATTCGATCATTCACGCCACGCCACTGGTTCTTCTCTAGCGCGACAACCAAGAGACGGTGAGGAAGCAATTACCTCGCAATACATTGTGTATGTTTTCTCGCTTTAATTTAAATGTCGTTTAAAAGTTTCCTCT